CTAGCCTTGAGCTGAAGAGCTGAGGGACAGCGCCCAGGCCCAGAGTTCAGGCCCCACAACCGGACCCCCCCCCAAAAAAAAGAATAGTGTTTGTTTGTTTCTTCTTGTACCTGGATAAGCCCTTTGCCACTAAGTTAATGCCAACCCCAACTTTTTACATTTTTGATGTACTAAACAGGGCTTGGGGTGTAAAGGGGGCATGGTTTGGGGGTGGAGCATTTAACCTAGTGTGTTTGAGGCCCCGGGTTTTATTCCTAGCATCACAAAAATCAACAACCAAAAAGCCAATGGGCTGGATGCAAGTGGCTCATGCCTGTCATCCTAGCCACTCAGGAGGCTGAGATCTGAAGATCGGGTTCAAAGCCAGCCCTGGCAGGAAAGTCCGTGAGACTCCATTTCCAAAAACAAAACGACAAGCTGAGGGTGCTTGGGACATTTTAACCAAACCCTAGCGCCCCACATACTTGTTGGATGTTGGGCTTACTCAGTGGAAATCTAGATAGCCCTGAGCAGGACAAAAGCAGCGTGTGTGTGTGTGTGTGTGTGTGTGTGTGTGTGTGTGTGTGTGTGTGTGTCCACACCTGTACTGAAAAGCAGCCTGTGTGTGTGTGTGTGTGTGTCTCCACACCTGTACTGAACTCAGGTATTGAACTCAGGGCCTCATGCTCATGCTCTCACTTGACTTTTTTTGTTCCAGTCCTGGGGCTTGAACTCAATTCCTGAAGCTCAGTTCCTGGGAGTTTGAACTCAGGGCCTGGGCACTGTCCTTGAGCTCCTTTTATTCAAAGCTTAGCACTCTACCACTTGAGCCACAGCACCATTTTTGGCTTTTTCTATGTTTGTGGTACTGAGGAATTGAACCCAGAGCTTCATGCATGCTAGGCAAGCACTCTACTAAGTCACATTCCCAGCCCCAATTCCTGAGTTTGTGTGCCTAAGGTTAGTGCTCTACCACTTGAACCACATCTTCACTTTTGGTGGTTAATTCAAGGTAAGAGTCCCATGCACTTTCCTGCCCAGGCTGGCTTTGAACCACAGTCCTCAGATGTCAGCCCCCTGAGTAGCTGGGAGTGCAGGCGTGAGCCGCCAGCACCCAGTGGCAGGTGGGCTTTTGCTCACTTAGGATGCTATTTCCTGTCCCCCAGATGCCCCAAGACCCAACAAGAAGACTGAGGAGCCCGAGGCCCAGCGGGAGCTTCTCTACCAGCAGAGCCGGGCTTACGTGGCCACCAACGAGCGGCTGCGGCAGGCTGGGGGCGGGCTGAGGCGGAAGTGCGAGGCGCTCCGGCAGGCCGGCCAGGAGCTGGAGCTGGACATCAGCCAGGTGTCACAGACGGCGCTGCCGCCACCGGGGACCCTGGCTCTCTCCTCACGCTGACCTGGCTTCCCCCTCTCCCTGGGGACATTCCACGTCCAGCCAGACCCTGGGATTAGGTCACCCCTGCTCACTCCCAGCACTCAGGAGGCTGCAGAACACTGTGACACTGGCTGGAGAGACCCACCCCACAGCTTCCGTGTCTCAGGACTGCGGCAGGGCCCCGCCGCGGTTTCAGAAGGGGACATTGAAGGATGGCTGTTCCAGTCCCCTTCCGTCTGATCTGAGAGACAAGGCCACTAGAGCAGTGCCACCTCCTTCCTGTCTTCATACTCCTGCTTAGGGCTCTGAACAGTTGGCTGAAGATAGATATACGTGTGACCCTCAGGGAGACACTGGTCACTGCTTAGCTGGGCCTAACTGAAGGTCAGACCTGGCTGCCAAAGCCTAGCACCAGTGTGCCTGGGGCCAGCCCAGCCTCTAATTTATCTCCTTCCTGATTTGACTGCTGCCTCTGGCCAGGCTGATCCTCACCCTGACATGCTGGAGCTACCATCCTTACTGTCCCCCAAGAAAAGTTCCCAGAGTCCCCGCCTGCGTTCTGAGTCCCATGCTGCCACCCTCACTAGCTCTGGTGCTGTGGTGGGTGGAGGTGAATGGATCGGGAAAGGGGACTTTTCATCCGAAGTAGGCAGAGACCTGTGGCCCACAGGTGGGTGGCTCTGTGTGTGTTGGGGGTGGGGGGAGGGGCAGGTCTAGAGGCTCCTGGGCCCCTGCTGAGTCAATGGATAAAAACCTCTTTGGATCAGAATGGCCACCTGAGTCGCACCTGAGACTTTGCCATCTGGGGCAGCAGCTCTGGAGATGCACTGTGTGTGTGTGGGGGGGGGGGGCGTCAGTGCCCATATGCAGGTGGCCCCACGGGGTCCGGGTATGGCGCAAGGCCTGATGGGTGCTATGGGAGTAACTCCATCCAGGGCCTCTGACGCTTCTTTAGAAGAAACTTCTCAGGGCTAGGAGTGTGGCTTCGTGGTAGAGTGCTTGCCTAGCATGCTTGAAACCCTGGGTTCCATTCCTCAATACCACATAAACAGGAGTGGCTCTGCAGCTCCAGGGGTAGAGCTCAGGGACAGTGTTCAGGCCCCGAGTTCAAGCCCGAAGACTGGCAAAAAGAAAAAAAGAAACTTCTGTTTCTCTCCCTGAAAGAGCGCCTCTCAGCTCAAGCCATCTCCTAAGCCAAACACTGGGTCTTTGGGGCCTGTACCCCTCAGGAACTTCCCATTAGCCGAAGCTTTGCCACCCTGACCCACTGCTGGCTGCCTCCTTCCCACGTTGGCCAGCCTGGTCCACCCCGACGAGAACCTGGGATCCGACTGTCCAGAACTACCGGCAGGCAGGCATCTTGCAATGAGAGCCCCGTGGCGGTGACAGACCAGACTCCCTGCTGTCCACACTGGGACCAGCCGCCAAGGGCTGGCACACAGCCTACCAAGGTGGCATCACCACACTGAAGAGCTGTCTTTCCTCCTAGCTCTTTCTTGGGACCAAGTGGACATATGCTGACACCATGGGGCCTTGTCCCTGAGTAGACTCAGATCTGACCTGAGATGCCTTCAACAAGAGGTTTCCTTGACCAGCACTGGACCCGTGGTAGGGGCAGCCATGGTGGGGATGGAAAGCCCTTCGGCCTGCCTTGACCGAGGAACAGTGGACAGCATGGGCAATGCCATAGCTTGGTTTATTAAAGGTGCACAAAAAGCCAGACGCCAGATTGGGTGTCATCTTTCCACCAGACAAATGGCTGTACATTAGAGGGCGGGTGTGGAAGGAGCTGGGACTATTTACATGACTGTTGAACACTGCAGAGACCCGGGAGGGCGGGAGCTGTAGGGGTGGTGGGCACAGGTCAGGTCAGCAGGAGAGGAAGATGTGATGGGGGAACATGGAGTCATCATAAGTCGGGACATCAGATCCCCACTTCCTGGTCCAGTGGCGGCAAGTCCTCGGTTTTGGGGCCGGCTGCAGTGTTTGGCAGGTAGATCAGGGCTTGGGAACCGGGGACAGCGTCTGTGTCCACAGCTCTGACCTCTAGTGGAGTGACCACGTGTAGCCTGTCGCTCTTAAACCGCTCTCCTGGGCGGGCTAGCCTCCCACGGCTCTACTGATGCCTGGAGGCTGTCCCCTCTCTGGGGGGAGGGAGGCGGTGAAGGCAAAAATGGCCCCTGGACCTGGTCCTGCAGGAGACGGCCCCTTGTTTACTGGTGTTGGTGGGGGCTGCCGGGAGCAGCATAGGCACTCACAGCACAGCAGCTACTCTGTCCACCCCTCCGAGAGGTAGCTCTGACTTCTCCCCATGGCCCACATGGGGAAACTGAGGCACAGAGCAGCGAGAGCACTGCCCAAGGTCTCACAGTGCATGGTAGGGGAGGCCGGGCCCAGGGTGGTACCTCGTACTTTGATCCATGGCCTGCAGCGGGTCCATCTGCCACCATTTCCCTAGCACCAGGCCATTTTTGGGGGGTACAGCTGGTTGAGAGCAAGCAAGGCCCCAGCAGCCTCAGATTTGAGGCTCCAGAGGGAAGCTGGGCTCCAGGGGCCAGCCAGTGGTGTCTGACGAGGAGGAGGAAGTCCTTCTGAGCCTCATTCTCACCCTTCCTGCTGGCTAACCGTGGGCCAGCAGCCTTGTCTGGAGGAACGCCGACTGTGAGCGTTGGTGCCTGCCACCAGCACCGTCACCAGGAACCACGCGACAGTCGTCCTGCTTGTTGGCTTGGGTTGGGGTGTGATGGGGCTGTGGGTGTGACAGGAATTTGGGGTCTCTCCTTTCGCACTGCTCTCTAGGATCCCATAGTCCAGGCCAGCTCCTCATCCCAACAGAACTGGGTGGGGAGAGACTGGCACTGCCGAGAGCCTGCCACTGCGTCGCAAAATCACTTCCCTTTTCCCAGAAGGACATCCATTGGACCTCAGGAATGAAATGCTCTCTTCAGATCTGTGTGTCAACCAGCTTCTTCCCAGAGCTGGAATCCTGGAGGAAAGAGGTCGTCGGCTCTTTCTGCAGGAATTTCCTCTTGGCTGAAGTGGAACACAGCTCCAAGAACCAACACAGAGACCTCTGAGGTTCACACTGGTTGAGTGCCCAAGGCCCTTAAGATCTGGCTCTCAAGAGACCCCACGTCCTGTCCGTCTCCTCTGACGCATCTGGCCTCCACCCCAGGCCTCCTACCAGGTTCCAGATCCCCGCTTTGACTCCAGGCTCCAGCTGGGGGCTGGGTACAAGAGGCAGTTCAGCCTCGATGTCCAAGCTTTATGCATCATAAATGAGCAGGACAGGCCGGTGCCGTAGCTCATACCTGCACTTCTAGTTACACAGGAGGCTGAGATCTGAGGATGACAGTTTGAAGCCAGCCCAGGCAGAAAAACGTATGAAACTCATTTCCAATTAATCACCAGAAAACCAGATGTGGAGCAGTGGCTCAAAGTGGTAGAGCACTAGCCTTGAGCCAAAGAGCTCAGGACAGCGTCCAGGCCCTGAGTTCAAGCCCTGCCAAAAAGCTGAACTAAAAAATGGCTGACAAAACGTTAGAGAGAGAGAGAGAGAGAGAGAGAGAGCAGGACATGGAAAAGAACACAGCCAGCAGTGTAGCAGCCATCCGCATGAATAAGTCCCAGAAGCCAACCATCTCCCTACAGGGTGGGCCTGGGTGCCCTGGTCCCTCTGGGGCTTTGATATGGGGACTCATAACTTCCTTCCCTTCCACCATAGCTGGGCCCTGTTGCCCTGACTCCATTTACCCCCAGGGCCCAAGTGGGCTGGTGGTCAGCTCCTGCTCCAGGATGGCAGTAGGGTCCCTGACCACGGGGATAAGGGGTCAGCTAGCTTCCAGTGTCCACACTAAGCCTCCCCTCTCTGTTGACTGCATCACCTGCCTGTTCCCCCCCCCCGTCTTTCCCCCAAGAGATGCAAAAGGCCTGGGCCCGTGATCAGACAGCCCTCTCCCCACTTTGGCAACCTCTAGGGTGACTGACTCTGGGCTCCCTGTGGGGCTGTGTGGGCAGGGCCGCCTTCCTGTCCCTCTCAGCCACACCCCTCACCCTGTACTCCCCAAGCTGAGAGTACAAACAAACCCAGCCAGGCAGTCATTAGCAAATTACCGAGTGCCGTAATTGCAGGCTTGGCGCTGCACAGCAGATGCCAAGGCCCCAGCTGGCGGGCGCCGCCTCGCGCCCTCTGCCAGCCCGCTCCCCACCCCGGGGCGGGGGTGCCGTCACCTCTGAGTCCCCGAGGGGCTGCCCCGAGGCTGTGACCGCCTCCCGGGAGCGGGTGGGTCAGGCCCCGGAAGGCTGTGCCCGGGGCCCGCAGCCGGCTTCCCTCGGAGCCCACGGGGTCTTGCGCTAAGGGGAGGCCGGTGTGAGCTGGGACGGAGGCTCCGAGGGCCCCTGCGCGGCCTCCTCAGAGCCTCGGTGGTGCAGGCCCATCGGGCAGCCCGGACTGGGCCCCAGGGCAAGAATGTTCCAGAAGGCCGGCTTGAGCCGCTACTCCAGGAGGCCGGCCGGGGCCGCGGCGGCCGGGACCTTCTCCCCGGCGGAGTCGCGGGCG